CAGTACTGAGAATTGTGTCGTTGATCGTTTGTGTTGTTTGGGACTTCTGGTCTTCCAAATCAAGCAGTGAAGAGTTGAAAATAGCAAAGAATAAATTGTTCATTTCTATAAGAAGCCCTCATATTGGAAAAACCCTGATGTGACCACAGGAAAGGAATAGTTTAAAAAATAAACTTGAGCATAATGGTTTCTGACATGCTCGGCTTTTCTCTTGAGTCCTTGAAGTGTTTTCACTCTATCTTTAACCCACTTAAAACGGGATTTAGTAAATACATAGAACATAATTAAACAGGAATTTCATATTCATGAGTTGTGATCTTGTTGATTGGGATTCAATAAGAAATGTATTTTTATGTTGTATCACTACAGGAATGTGAAAACACAGTTGATATTGAGATGATCATCAGTACCATGCAGTATTTTACCAAAATTCCTATTTGTGGAGAAAATGTTATGATAGAGCCTATAAATGAAAAGCAGAACAATTTTATTCCCATTATATATTTCCTTGTGGGTTTTTTTTGGAACCCACAAGGAAATAAAATGTCGCTTTATCCTATATGAATCAAGCCTCTCGTGATTTAGTCTATTCCCTTTTGGCAGCCATGCCTTGCCTAACGTGTTCTGCTGCTTTATTTAAAGTGAATTAGTCTCCAATTCATGCTGTTTACTCCCTCCACCTCATTCCACCCCACCCGCAAACCCCCCCTGATTAGTGTTGACCCTAATGTCTGAGTCTTTAAGAGCCCCGTTTGTTTCCTCGTGCGTTGCCAAGGTAATACCCTGCAAGAGCAAAGACAAAGAGGGATGAAGCCGCGGCAGAGGAGCCAAAGAGAGAGAGAGACTTCTACGACATTGATTTTGGCTGCAGAGCATTCCTCAAAAGCAGATAATTTGTCTGAAGAAAAGAAATCACCAACACTTCCATGTCTTCACCTTTATGCAGAAAACAACATATCCAATATGTGAAAAAAAAACAACCAAAAAAATCAAGTAGAGAATGTGCCTTCTCTCCTTAACTTGCACTGACACAGAGCTCTCTCCACCAATCAATATTGGTAGATTCAACTTTATGGCAGGCAGTGAATGACGGTCACAAACTTTAGAGGGTACGAAACCATTTAATTGCAATGTGTTCCAGCGCTTGAAGATAATGAGTAAGAAATTATGAGAACCTGCCTCCATTCGCAGCTGTTCTTTGATATTCATGAACAACTGTCTGGGGTGGATGTTAGCGATACCTCTTACTTTCATCTTCCTCCCCTGGCTCTTTCTCAAGTGTCTCCCTGCATGCATGTGACACATCTGAAACAGGGTGCTCTGCCATAAGCATCGATTTTGCATGCCTGAAAAGGCCAAGATAATGCCCTTCCATAATTGATATACCTATCAAACGCTGGAATATTTCATTGTGATTCGCATCAACACTGGAGCAAATGGGAAGGAGCGAAGATTTTTTTTTTAACTGAATGAATGACTTAATTTCCAACTGTCTCAATCTTTCAGCCCGCTTGTTGTGGTCCCCGCGCTTTTCGGCACTTCTTCTACTTTTCACTGTGCACTTCTAAACTCTGTGACACATTTTCCTTTCCTTTTTAACGGCGTCACCCATCTGGATGAGTCTGTAATTCTTTCCCGTTAACAAGCTAGGCTTTGATGTGGCGCACTGGAGACGCCGCACGTCCTTGGAGGTCTTAACATCTGCCGACACTCAAACAACATCTGCAGACAAGACAAACAACAGAAGCAGAGGAAGAACTCTCTAATGACCTCTGGTAACCTTATCATAAGTATTTCATCACTCGTCTCACATCAAGTGCTGTCTAATCAACAGTCTAGGTGAGGTGGGATTTTACAATCAATGGTCCTCTTCGTTTAAATCAGGGCATGTGCAATACCTGGCAGAGGGACATCATGAATAAAAGACAATGTGAAACATGATTCATAATCTCTAATAATGACAGGAGCTAAGGGATGAGCAGAAGTAGGAATAAGAGTGATGTCTCATTTAGTTGTGTTTATATCTAATTAATGTATCTTCTGTTTATGCGATAAGGTACAACCTTTTGTTAATCTTTTCATGTTCTGATTATTGTGTGCTGTTTAACATCCAGTCTCGTGTGCAATGGAATGCAAATGCAATCATGTGACAGTCACATCTGCAACGTGTCTGGTTTTCTGCAATTTTTTTCCAGTCGGTAAAAAGGTGTCCGAGTGTGGTCTCTGCCTCTTACCGGGATTGTTTAGCGGCTGACAAGCGTGACTTTACACCTCGTGCGTGAGCCGTGATAACCATGCTGGGGACGAAATCACAGCCAGACATATTCTCTGTCTGGTGAGAGGTTGCAAAACACATACTGATCCAGAAACACGCAGCCCAGCTCAATCAACAGCTCAGGCTCTGCCGTCCACAGCTCCTCAGCACATGTGAAAACACCAGCAGGAGACGGCGCCCTGCTTAAAAATACCTTCTCTTTTTTTGAAATCTCACCTGCTGCTGCTTTTTAAACACTGGCACTTCGCTGCCGCTGAAGTTGAGTTTGGATAATTGAACTGAATAAATGCTGCCAAAGGCGATTCCTGCTTCCTCCCAAATACCACTGTGTTTCAGTAGATTGCACAGAAAGAGGCAACAACAGGGCAGACAGAGGCTGCTTAACGATGTAGGAACGGGCTTCTAATTTGAGTGTGCGAGTAAAAGGTGATAAGATGGTCCTGTAGTAGCCCATAAATGTGTGGACGAGGTGAAGGCAGGATTACCAATAAGTGCAGCAGCATTTCCCAGTGAGGGTTGTAAAGCTCAGGATTGTTGTTCTGTATCTTCACAGAGGAAAGGATGGTTCTTTTTTTGTGTTGATAGCTAAAGATATGACACATTATTGTTTTAGTAGCGCTGTGGTCCTTCTTTAAGCACAACATGCATTTGACCTCGACGTTTCTCTTATCCTTTCAACAAATGAGTGCTATAAGATGTAAATGCTGTGCTCTTTGTCCACAGGTTTAAAATAGATGGCAGGGATATTTTCTTTGTTGCACGGGAAGATATGGACTGAATCATATACAATAAGAATTAATCAATAAAAATTAATACAACATTCCGTGCAGTGTTACGTTTTAATGCATAACTCCCATCACTGTTTAGTACAAAGGGCTCTTGTAGGAGTGTGTACGAATAGCAAGCCGCTTTCCACATTTTAAGCCTTTGCGATGTGAGTGTACAATGTTCAGATAACAAGTCAAATGTTAAAGCTTGTGACATGTAAAAGTTTTTAAGCAAGCATTATAATAACACATAAATTACTTGGTGTCCAATAACTATTCCAAAATATCAACAAACTTAAATTATTTCAAACTATTTTAACTATCTGTTCAGGGTTAAATTTCCAAAGTCCTAAAATAATCTGCATTATATAACTTTATTAATCACTACTCAACTCTTTATACAAGCTCTCTGTGCCAAACTGTCAGAATATTTGAATGCTTCTTTAATCGCAGAATCCCCAAAGCAGACTTTTATGGCACGTCTCTACGAGGCAGCATTAGATGAATTCAGGTAGTTCTGTGTCTCTGACATATTTATTGGATGGAAATGTGTGGTAATCTTATGGTAATAAGGACTGATGCCATCTTGAAAAGGAAAAAATCCTTGTCGGGTGAATGAGCTCATGGATTTTGTGGAACTTTAGTAACACGGACACACAGCCTCTTCAGTCTGCTTTCTGCACATACAGTACCGTATCCATATGTGTCCCACAAAACGGCGAGTCTTTGAACGCAACCCTGCAAATCCCCTGGGTATTTCAAAGGAGAAAAGCTGGAAAGCTGCCTAAACTCTGCACAAAGCATTTTTCAGCATGATCAATATGTGCATATGTAGCAAAAAAATATATAAAAATGGTGTGCCGCATAAAAAAGAGAGAAAAGGACCAGTGCGTATTCCCCAAGATCACAGCAGGCAAATATTAATAGAGTGAGTAATGCACCATGACTACCAATTTTTTCAACCTGTTATCATCAGCCTTTCAATTTGGGAATGAGCTATCTCTGATTAATAACTAGTCCTGAGCTTTCATTACATGCAAATGCTAATGTTTCATGAGTTTAAAATGAATTTTCCTAATGTGATATTTTGGGTATAATTAAAATCAGATGAACAGATGGTATTCATGAGCAGAAAAAATTAAATTTAGTCTATTTGATCCACTTATTTATCCTGTTAAGGTCAGTAAGGCCCACAAAAAGATGGTGTGAAGTTTATATTTTCTTCCAAGTGTACACGTTTAATTAAAACAATTACAAATGAAGTCTCTTCCTTGCAGTTTTACCTCAAAATGGCATTAGCACTTTTGTTATCAAGTAAGTGGCTCATGAAGACCATGAATTTTTATGTTGCCCCCCCCCCCCCCCCCCTTCTTTTCTTCATGCAAATTGGTTGCTCTTGTTTATATCAGGCAGCCTGCACCACTTTAAGATTCCCAGACTGAGATGCATATCGCAAGTCATCATTCTTTTTGCTGAAGGAAGCAGTGTTGCTGACAATGCCATGTTGCATTAAACTCACACCAAGAAAGCATGGGGACATAATCTAGGACATGCTGTCGGGAGACAACTTCAGCTAATCCACTCTGAGATGCAGAATTCCTGCTTCTCAGACAAACCAAAGCCGTCTGGCCACTGGGATCGTGAACTTAAAAGCAAAAATATGCATATTCAAAGAAAAACAAAAAGTAAAACGGCCACTTCAATGACTGAAACAGCTCACCCCCCATTTAACCCTATTTTCCGTTTTAACGAATCTCATCTGAAACAGCTAGATGTAGCTCACTCTGCAGTGCAGCATGCTTTGCGCTTTGTGTCAGCAGAATGAATGTTGTGCTACCTTGCACTCATTACTCTAGTTGAGATGCCCTTAAGAAAAAGCATCCGACACGACTCTGCTCTGCCGGAGCTACCCTGAAGCCCACAAATTGGAGGATTTTGTGTTGGAATGGAGTGTTCACCGCAGCTTTGTTTGGGAAAAGAAACACCAAAACAAAAGAGAGTCTCACCGGTCTTGCAGATGGGGCAGCACTGGTCCGGCTCGTACTCCGGGTCCACGCACTCGGTCTGAGGGCAGGCCGCCACGGAGCACAGCACCTCTCCGCTGGGCTCGCACCGGCACCTCTCACATGGAGACACCTGTAAGACGGGGAGCGATCCTCAACACCTGTATGAGCAGCCCCTGCTCAGAAGCCGCATGCAAGCAAACCAGGAAAAAGGGTTTTTCCTTTTTTAATTAACCTCTTGTTATCTTTGTCTCTGGCTCATTGTGTTTTGCTTTTTTTTTTTTGGTTTGTTTTTGTTTTTGTTTTTTTCTTATGCAGATTTTCTTGGAGTATCAAACACGCACGGATGCCCACAAACGATGCTCAATGCAATCTTCCTGAATGCCTAGACGGTTTAGGAGACTGTGCATTCTGCATCTCAGAGTGACGTTATAGCGTGGGTCACGGCCCTCTGAATTTATTCGCAGATGATGCACCTTGTTTTAGATTGGCCACCGAATCGTATTTCGCTCTTCTATCAGAAGATGCGCCAAAAAAATCAATAAGAATGGGAAACAAAAGAAGGAGGCTTCCAATTTGCTCGCTGCGTGAGCAGAGTTAGAGATGGCGTGGCTTCCCAAGCGTTCTTGCACATCTGAAAATAGATCAAATGTGGGGCCTTGACTGGGACCAACGGCGCACACTTTGATTTACATTCAGTGCCCGCGACGCCAGCTCCATTTTTTTTTTTTTTCGCTGCTTCTGTGAAGCCGGACGAGTCCGCTCGTAAACAAAGGAGCCAAAGGGTTGGCTCGGCCGGCTTTGCTGTGGATTGCAGAGGCTTGCACCTCCGCACGGCACTCCACGGTGAAGACTGAAGTGAGGCAGCACTTAGCACAATACCCCAGAATATAGCAATCAGGCGTTAAGAAAAAAAAAAAACCTGCCTGTTGCTTAGTTTCAAAGCGCCTTCCCTCCACACGGCTCTCTGTAGCATCCCCCCAGCTCTGACTTAACAAAGAGCCGGCGGCAACACCGAGTTAAGGAGAGATGCTCCATATTAGAATCAGCCTTTTGGCGGGAGACGGAAAGGAGCATAGGGGTGCCAGTAAACGCATGGCCCCGTCAGAGGCGTGGTGCCATCCTGAGTCCAGCCTCTCCGGGGAGCGTCGGAAGATAAAAGGAGTGCGGGCCTCGCTGACGTGTCTCCGTGTCTTTTCCAGACGCCCAGGAGCAGCAGTGTGATCGGCAGAGTTGTAACATTAATGTTACTGTATCGCTGTGTGTCAACAAACCGAGCCGGGGAAGCAGTCTGCTGAAGCTGCACGGCTAAATCCAGCCCCCGGTAACAGTCTGCCGTTGTGTGTGTGTGTGTGTATGTGTGTGTGTGTGAGAGAGGGGGGGTGGGGGATAAGATAAGTGCTGACCTTTGCCATTATAAATCTGCTCGTGTGCTCGCTTGCATGCTTTAAGGCAAACTTACTTGTTTCTGTGTGGGGCTCGTGATGAACTCCATTGATGGCAAGGAGTGCTGCGTCAGCACTTTTTTCAACTTTTTAAACAAGTTGAGAAAAAAAACAGTGGATGCGGTTAACGGGGCCTCACCTTAAACTCCTCCAGCGAGGCGTAGACCTTGCCGCGGAACTCGCAGTAGTTTTTCTTCTCCTTGCACAGCGGGCAGCACTGGCTGGTGTCCACCTTGATGCAGCGGGGGTGGACCTTGGGACATTCGGGCTTGGTGCACAGCGGGCCCTCGTCGGTGCAGAGGCAGGGGCAGGTGGACGGGCCCGGGGTGAACTCCTCGCCGATGGCGAAGACGAAGCCGCTCTCGTCCATGCAGCCCTTCCCCCTGTAGTCGGGGTAGGCGTACTCGTCGATGGCGTCCAGGGAGAGGGCCACGTCGCTGGTGGGGCCCTCGTCGATCTGGTTCAGGCTGTCTTGTTCGCTCCATAGCTCCTGGGACTTCCCGCCTGTTAGGGAGCTGAAGTTTGGCCTGGCGCTGTTCAAAGCTGTCCTATTAGGTCCAAAAGCATCGATTCCCTCCAGCTGCTGCTGAGCGGCGTATTCCAGCGGCTCCTCGGGGGCCTGCTTGACCGGATGCTTGGTCTCCTTGGCTTGGGTCAGCACCCTTTCCAGACGATCTCGGCTCACTGGTAAGGTGGCTATGGGATTGCACAGAGTGCTACCCATCAGGAACCCCACAACAAAGAGGAATTCTGCTGTCATGGCAACGAAGTGCAGCATCTCTCCCCACCACCGTGGAGGTGGGACAACACCTTGGCTCACATAACACAATTCACATCTCAGGTGTGAGCCAGTCCATCTGGAAAGAGAAAATTGAACTGGGGTTATGTGCACTTGTACTTTGTCATTTTTCATCCGGGGTGTGGGCTTTGTCTCTTTTTTGGTCTGTGGGACTGCGGCGTTTCTGCTTCATCACGTCGAACAAACATCCCACCGAGTGTAACGCAAGCATGTAGTATCAGTGAATTGGATCATCAGGAAAAGGAGTGGTCAGGAGGCCGTGGAAGGAAATCAATACCGCTTCATTCTGTAACACTTCCCCTGCATCAATCACTCCCCGCAGTGAAAGAGTAAGAGGAAAATGGCCCGGGAGGGACCTGTGTCTTACACTGCCACCCGCCTGCGCCTCTGACAGAACAACGGACGGGGATCAATGGAGCTTTTTTCTCTCTCTTCTTTTTAAGAATTACAGTCAGCTGAGTAAAAAGGAAACATTGATCCGAGAGCAGAGCATAATACATGTCTGGAAAGATGAATTTACTATGTAGCTCTAACAAATGGTATCAGTTTTTAAATGAAGGCAAATTTTGCCCCGGCTTTCAAAAGGCACTTGCAAAAAGCCTGCGAGGAGTCGATGCACTGCGGCCAAATTCAAAGAGAGTCCTTGCATCCACCACAGAGAGGGGACGTTTTCAAAAAGCTGGAGTCAATGCTTCTGTGTTTGCCTCCTGCTTAACTTGATTTACTGCGCTCTCGTGAAATTCAAATGCCTGCTATGATGCTCGGCCGTGTCTGGTGGCCTACTTTCATTCATTTCCCTCACACCCACCGTTCAGAGCCGTCGCTGGGCTCCGTTTGCCGGCATCACCCTGATGCGCTGTTTGTTTTGGAGGAACACAGCTCTGTATTGACCGGCCCAACAATTAACTGCAAAGTCATGTCTGCGCTTGTTTAAGAATCGTCCGCCGTATTGACGGATTTGTCAAAAGGAACGCAGCTAATTTCAAACGGAGTGATTAGGAGCCTTAAAGGGCAGCTGAGCATGAGATAAACAGAAAGCGGGCCATAATTAGGAGTGTGGCAATTCGGAGAGCACAGATAATACCTGGATAACAGGCCACATTAGCTGCATTTGAGTAAAAAGGCCAACCAAAATCCCTCCATATGTTTTTAGCCCTTGTAGTTTGATATTCATGAATTCCAGTCAGAGGAACAGAGGATGACACTGTTGGCACATCAGTGCTGTTTGAGGAACGTTTTTCTCCCATTTGCCGGGTTTGAGGCAGATTCCTCGAAGCAGCTGTGGAAGTGAGAGGAGGCAGAACGAGGCGCATACCGATAACACGGCTGCAGCTGACAGGGCGCGGGAGGGACGGGGCCAAGGCTCGTTAGTAAAAGGACCCCGCTTGTCTTTTCTCGGTCTCACCTCTCCACCTTAACAGCTGCTACCAGGTGTCACTCTGAGAACGCCGCCGCCGCCGCCGTGCTCTCTGCCCGGGCTGAGCTGCCCGGTGGCCCCCGGGCCGGCGGACGACAGGGACCCGGCTAACCGCCGCACCGCAGAGCGTTAGGGGACAAAGCTGCTGATGGGTCTTTGTGTTTCTCGCTGTCAACAAATCCCCTAAACAAATAACCGGATTAATCGGAGCTAATTCCGTATTGATCGTCCGCTGAGCGTCTCATCCACACTGTCACGGTGCTTTCAGGTGCAGGCCCACCGTTCTCCCTCTGTACACTCTATAAAAGCTGTTTTCTCTCCGTCTGTTTTTGCTTCTCAGTGGTTTGTTGTTTACAGCGGCTTGCTGTGTTTGGAAGTTCGCCTCTAAATGTCAGCCTGAGCGAGCGTATCGCTGTTACGCCTTGCTGAAATTCAAGCATAAACTGTAACAAGAAGATTCGTTCTTTCTGTCTGTCTGTCTTTCTTTTTTTTTTTTTTGGGAACTGTCGATTAGATCTGAAACATCGAAGGGTGTACTTGGAGAGCCAGCGAGCTGTTGCGCAACAGAGATCAACCTTACTGATCCCAACTTTGAGCTGGGTCTCTCTGTGGCCGTGCCCAGCCATCACCGAGCAGGATTTATATCCCACACCAGCAGACAGACAGAAACAGGCCCCCTCTCCTCAGCCCTCCAGTGTCACTCCACGACAGCATGAGGATTCGTTGCTGTAAATAATATATGCTCGTTTGATTGAGTCCTCGGTAAATACATTTCTCAATTCTGTTATATAATTTCTGGGTATAATTTCATTCTAATCATCGGCCATTACTCCCTTTATGTTGGATAAAAGCTCCATTTATCTAGGGGATATTGCTTGACTGAATTATCTTATTGCCAGCGCTTATATAAATAGAAGTTAGTGGGTTCTAGCTTGTTTTTTTTTTCACAGCCGATGCTGTCTGACTGTTGTTTTAGCACTTTCCAAAAGTTATTGTCATCTTTCATTTAATGGGGAATCTTATTCGCTTGAACTTTCAGCAGTTTTTTGAAGGAGGGCTAAACAAGCAAAAAGCCTGAGGAGAAGACAAACAGTAATTCCTAACATTTCTCGAGTCATTATGATGTCATTATGATGTCAGTATGAGCGTGAATAGCAGAATGAATATAGATGGCTTTATACATCATTAAGTACACGCCGCCAAGTGTGTACAGTGTCTTTACTCACTTTTTAATTAATAAAAGTGTCATTAAGGTTGTTCCATCTGTTCTTTTTTGTGAATATCGAAAGCCATATACAGTTATTTATGATACTCATTCTTTTGCTGGAAGGGAAAATCTGAGTTAAGGTTCTTTTCTTGTCGCAGTACTGTTTTTGCTTTATTATGCAGTTATATTAGAAATGTTTTTGCCAGAATAAGAGGAATGGCAATAAAGCCAAAAAACAATTGTTATATGTAAAAGAAAGAGGAAATAAAGGATGCGTGTTAAGTAATTTCCACAAACTTCAAACTGGTTTTCTCACACATGAACAGTTTGGACTGTGAGAGTAGCAGAAATATTACTATTAAGTGCTTGGAATCATGCTCAGTGGATTGGTTTAGTTATTGCATGAAAACATGATAGGCTGGATACCAACAGATGATTGTAGAAAATAGCTGGCAAAGCATTGGGGTGACCTCTCTGAATTGGTCCCCTCTGCAAAATGTACAATTTTCATTATAAATGTTGGAAAATGTAGAAGTAAGCCTGTTATTGCATGACTATGCACTGCAGCACTTGGCTTCACCTGACCAAACCTGGCCTGAACATGTATTAAGCCAGTGGTTTTAGGATTTAAACCAGAACAGGCATTTTTCAATATGCATGATAAACAACTGTAGCTGAATTGCTTTTTCTTCTGCATCTTCCAGTGGACTTGTGGACTTTAACCTTTTTTTCCCCACCACAACAAATTCTGCAGAATATTTGCAAATCTTTTCTGTAGTCAGTCTATCTGCATTTAAATCAAAGCGCATCTTTTCCACACGTCTTGAATTTCCACTGCAGCCGACAGTTAAGATCTTTTGGCACATATTAAAGACGCGATTGGAGAACAAATGCACGTATTTCCTTTTTTACTGTAGTCCTGTGCAGTGAGCGTTTTCAAGATGCTTTTGTGAGCATTTCTTTTCACCACTCTCCTACTAATGGCAAACACTCTACATTTATAGCACTGTGCATAAGCCATCTGGTAAAAGGTCACGGATTTATCTTAGGCCTACAGCTCTTTGAAGAATTCCTGGTTTGTTTTTTTCTCACTTTCTTGTTTCGCTGCTCTATATTCAACATTTGCAAGGACATTGTGATGTGAAATAATCGCACAACCAGGGAGACGTGATCTAAAGACAACGCAGTCTCCACTCCATGTCTCTGTGGGATACTGTGGAAGCTTGTGTAATGGATGGACATAGACTTCATGTCCCAGCCTAAATATGAGAATTCATCTTTTTTTAATGAGCTAATGTGAGATAAGCTGCAACCACAGCTCTACGGTCTCTTTCAGTATCAGAACCTGCTGAAGTAACTTGCTGTGTGCCCACACTCTGACTGACCAGTGCACTGTGGGGCTGCGGGATGGGCGGAGCTAACAATCAGAGGTATATCGGAGTTTACATAAGCCGGTGTCGGTGAGTTTATTCAAACTCGTGGCCCGTTCGCACACCCACGTCATCCAAAAAGACACAGATATGTGAGAGGAAAAACAACGCTCCAATTAACACTCGTCGTCTCTGAATAGTTATCTCTGCAAAGTGAGCAATTTTCCGTGCAAGAATATTAGCATCAGACACCTTTTCAGCCACTCAAAGTAGAGTGGGCGCAAACATTGTCTTTCAAAGCATAAAATCCATATGAGAACAACTAAAATCACTTAATTTGAACTTTTGAAAATACTAGTTAAACATGCATGATAATAACTCCACTTAAAACCTAAACCCCCACCAGCCTTTAGTGCTGTATCCAATTTTTCCTTTAAATGTTTCTTTGATTAATAATAAATGATGCACACAGAAACAGAGAGCTCTGTAAGCCAAAAAAAACAATACAGTGGATGTCTTAGAGAGCGCAGTTCCAAAACATCTGCCAGAGACTGGCGGCTGAGCCCGAAATTAAAGGAACAGAGTTCACTTTTGTGACTTTTGTGCCACGGAGCCAGCTGGCACTTAGGCCAGGGACGTGAAAGTTGTCAGTTAAAAGGCTCGGACTCGACAGGTCAAACACCAGGAGGCTCTCTGCGAGAAACTGAGCTGAGGAAGGAGCTGAATTCCATATAATGCAGCACAACATCATCAGGAGAAATAGTGCTCCAGCTGTTAATGTAGATGCTAATGTATAAAACTTATGAATGGATGTCCCTGGAAAAGTGAATACAACTGTATTTTAGCAGATGACCCATGGATCATACTGAATATCCATTTAGGTGCTGTTTTGTTTTCCGACAGCCATTTTTCCTTTTTGCCAGCTTCATTAACCGTGCACCTCCCACTATTTTTATTTTAATGTCTCATTTTTTATGACATCTTT